GATTCATCCTTCCATTCATCTCTCTTTCTCTCTATCTATCTCTATCTCTATCTCTACCTCTATCTCTATCTATCTCTCTCTCTCTCTCTCTCTCTCTCTCTCTCTCTCTCTCTCTCTCTATCTCTCTCTCTCTCTCTCTCTCTCTCTCTCTCTCTCTCTCTCTCTCTCTCTCTCTCTCTCTCTCTCTCTCTCTCTCTTCACCTAACCTATTTACTTCTGCACTGTTGTGACTTACATTCTAACTGTCATGCTGAATACTCAGGTGAAACCAACTCCTGGACGACGTCACGGCTTGTCAAGGGCAACACTTCAGCTGTATTCGTTGGCATTGGGCCGGTTGCGCGTGACTATGCATTCTTCTCGGTGAGGACTTGTCTTTCTACAGGCACGCACTTGTTCAAAACCCATTTCTGGTTGAATTGAAACCGGGCGTTGTGGCGTTGTGTGAAAGGGTTCTGGTCAAGTGACGGCACTGCATCGTAGGGAGAACCTGGACGCCACTTATATTTAGAGAGGTACGGTGATTTTTCCTTACGTCACGGTGCCTGCGTTAACTGCACGTGTGGTTTTTGTGAACCTGCAGGTTGTTGTCGTCAAGTCAGACACAGACAGCAGCGTGGAAGGCGGAAAACATCAGCCGACAGAACTGCCGCGATTTGTCCAGTCCGCGTTGCAGTCACCGACTGGAGGTCAGTGACACGCTCTAATGTTTGTTTGTTTGCTTCCTTGTTTGCTTCCTTGTTTGTTTGTTTGTTTGTTTGTTTTAAATTCCTGTAGGACGCGTCACGATGATGTTTATTTTACGGCCGAAACCGCGAAAAACCTTTTTCCTGAAATGAATTTATTTTGTGAAGTGCAGTGATGAGTGTGAGCCAGTGTTGCTCACAATCCACTTTGTTTGTTCGTTTGTTGGCGTGCACGCGTGTGTGTGTGTGCGTGTGTGTGTGTGTGCTTGCGCTCGTGTGTGTGTATGTGTGTGTGTGTGTGTACGTGTGCGTGTGTGTGTGTGTGCGTTCGTGTGCGTGTGTGTGTGTGTGTGCTTGCGTGCGTGTGTGCAGATTATCTGCACCCACCACAACATCTGGAGCTGATTGCCATTAATCACACGACCGCCGTGCTCATTTGGCAGTACGATGTTCCTGGTGTCAAGGTATCTGCCAGTTGCATGGCGTGGCGTGTGCTTGCCTGTGTGTCTGTTCATCTACCTTTCCGTCTGTCTGCCTCTCTGTCGGGCCTGTCTCTCTGTCTGGCCTGTCTGTCTGTCTGTCTGTCCGCTTGCTGGTGTCTGTGTGTATGTGTCTGTTTGTCCGTCTGTATCCATCAGAGCCAAGTCTTGCTCTTGCTCTCTGCTTTGGCTAGATCCAGTTGTTGTTTCTCTCTATCCCTTTGTCTCTACGTCCGTCTGTCTGTCTGAGGGAGAGAGAGAGAGAGAGAGAGAGAGAGAGAGAGAGAGAGAGAGAGAGGGAGAGAGGGAGAGAGGGAGAGAGGGAGAGAGGGAGAGAGAGAGAGAGAGGAGAGAGGGAGAGGGAGGGAGGGAGGGAGGGAGGAAGGGAGGGAGGGAGGGAGGGAGGAAGGGAGGGAGGGAGAGAGAGAGAGAGAGAGATAGGGAGAGAGAGAGAGAGAGAGAGAATTGTGGAGGAGTAAGCGAGGCTCTGCATGCCTGTACAACACACAGTACTCCGGACACAATACAGTGTTGTGTGTGTGTGTGTTTGCTCTGGTCACCCATGCAGCTATTTACCGTCACTGTCACACAAGGTGGCAACAGCATCACTCAGCAGACATCTAACAAATTCTTCTACGCCAAGAACCTCATTGCCGACACTAAAGTTCACATTGCAGTGCGTCCGACGTGTACAAGCCAAGTGTCCTCGGAGCTGCATGTCCCTTAAGCATACATGCCTCATTGGTCAAGGTGTATAGATATCCTGAACAAGGTAGGCACTCACGTTGTTGTTGTTGTTGTTGTTGTTGTTTTCTATTTTACTTTGCACGGCCAAACGGGCAACGGTGCCCAATTACATGGAATCGAATTTCAAAAACGGAAGAGAACGAACGAGCGAGGAGGGGGGGGGGGGAGAGAAAGAGAGAGAGAGAGAGAGAGAGAGAGAGAGAGAGAGAGAGAGAGAGAGAGAGAGGGAGGGAGGGAGGGAGGGAGGGAGGGAGGGAGGGAGGGAGGGAGGGAGGGAGGGAGGGAGAGAGAGACAGAGAGAGATACAGAGGGAAGCAGTGATGTTAGGGGCATCGGGGAGATGGATTAGTATTGCATGGTGGGTGCATTTATGTGTGGTTGGGGGTAGCAGCGAAGAACAAATTGCTAAGTAATTTAGTATGATAAGCGATTTGTGTGTGTGTGTGTGTGTGTGCGTGCGTGCGTGCGTGCGTGCGTGTGTAAATAGAAGCCCGGGAATACGCTCGGCTTGAACACGTGACATTAGGGTTTGTGGGAAATGAGATTTACGTAGTGAGTGGTGGAACGAACCCATACGCGATGTCACTGCAATTGCAAGCGCTCACCTACTCCGTGTGTCTCTCTGTATGGCTGTGTCTCTGTCTCCCTACCCTCCCTCTCCATGTCGCCCTCTCTTTTTCTCTCCCCCTTTCTCCCAACTTACCACTGCTTATACCCAATATTTCTCTCGCTCTTTCTCCAGGCACTGTTGTGCGCGATGTTGTTGTTCGTCCACTGTCCGCGACCACTGCCTCTGTCTCCTGGACCTACCCCAATGAAATCCAGCAGAGTGTATCAGGTTTCAAGGTCTACCTGTCCACACCACAGACTAAGAATCTCTTTGACGTAAGTTTAACCGCCAGTGAGAAAACCTCAGGCGATAGACTCTGTTGTAAAGTGTACAATTCTCACAGCTCATTTCTTAACTCCACGACTCCAGATGATAGAGAACCTCTTTTATAGGAAACGTAGCACAATTATCACCAGAGAGTAGTCTAACCAAGAGTAAATAGAGAGGTTTCGCATAACGTAATTACGTTAGTAAAAAACGTAGTTGATCTACGGAAAATCTTACGTAAACTGCATGCGCATCTGGGTTCTGCCATGCGGAGTTTTCAAATCACGTAGCCGCCTTTGGCAACTCCGAAAGCGGCAGTGTACGACCAGATCGACCTGGGGAGAGAGTCATAAATTTGTACCCCAATCCACTTACGGACCAGCTACGTACTCTACGTAGACCACGTTCCGTAAGTGGAGTGCAAACTCGCGAATTCACGGGTTTTTCCGCCCACTAACGTAAAGTTGCTCAACATTACGTAGTGCGGAACCTCTCTAATACCCCCCCCCCCCCCCCCCAGAGTGTGCAACGCCTGGTCCAGCTCTGCATAGGGTCTTGGTCGAGCGTAATCGGATCTTTGCGTCATAATACTGTACATATCTGAGGGGAACCCGGGTGAGTCGCGGGGGCGCTCGGACCAAAAATAATGGTGCCCTGCCTCGAGACCGGCCTTGCGCTGATGTGGAGTGTGCGCATGACATCAGAAGATCCGATTACGCTCGACCAAGACCCTATGCAGAGCTGGATCGGCGTTGTACACTCTTGGGAGTTATTTACTCTTGGTCTAACTCTATACAAATGGAAAAAAGGAATTTGATGTAAAGAAGTCAATGCCGAGTTTGGTACCAATTATCCAAACCTATTCACGATGTAAGAACTGCAAAAAAAGATCCAGTGAAGGAACGTGTTAACAGATCGACCTGCAGAGATCACTCAAGCAGTGTTGTGTATCACTGCACATGCTTAGAAGTGGCTCTCCACAATATCACTCCACTGCTCTTTTGCTCTTTTGCTCCATTAGGCCCTCATCAGACTACGTACATAGAACATCCAGTACAAAATCACATAAAACCTAAAAGGCAACATTTTTCCAAGCCTGCATTCAGACTACACATTTTACATGCAATATACAAGCAACCTTTGACCCTACGCGATTGCGCAATGGTCCTGGGATGTGTGAAAGCAGCCGGTAGTCGTACCCGGGTACAAAGTTTGTACGTCTGTACGACTGCCTGGTGAAAGTGCGATAAATGCGGAAAGTTGCCTTGTACAAGGGTTCGCACCCTGCCTGAAAGGATTGGGCAGCTTTTTAGGCTTCCTGCCAGATTCTTGTTGTTGTCTTTGAAACTTCTATGTAAATGTGACTTATAGGCTGTTTTGTACCTAGTCTGAAGAGGGCCTTACTCCACTACTTGTTTCAGCACCCCGACTCGCAACACACGAACAGTCCTTGGCTACACCACTTGTCCACTATTCACTGCACTTGGTGTAGCCGAGGACTATTCGTGTGTTGCGAGTTGGATACACTGAAAATATGACAAGGCTACAGTGGAGTTTCAAAGTTCTTAAACAAAACTCCACTACTTCAGTACTGTATTACTCCAGCACCACAGCATCCCAGCATTCCATTACTCCGTGAAGAATGTTTTAAAAAGCATTTAGCAGGTTTGCATGTACCGGTGTGTGAGCTCACGTTCGATGATGCATATCATGAGAAGCGCACATGATATCTAGACGGAGTCCTCAGCGATCTGACTTTTAGTGTTATGATGTCCGTATGTGTGTGTGTCCATGCGTGTCGGTGTGTGTGTGTGTGTGTGTGTGCGTGTGTGTGCATGTGTGTGCATGAGTGTGTGTGTGTGTGTGTGTGTGTGTGTGTGTGTGTGTGTGTGTGCGTGTGCATGCGTGTGTCTGAGCATGCGTGTGTGTGTGCCGTCGTGTGTCCACCTCTTCAACAACCTCATGCTACCACACACAGGTCGACAGCGTACACTTCAGCGAGCGCTGCTCGCTGTTTGTCTTCCAGCCACTCAAGTGCGCGCTAGTACATCTGGAAGCTGGCAAGTTTTACGCCGTGCGAGTTGCCATGATGCACTCGGTCTCCGCCAATCACAGCAGCGTCTCCGTGGCAATGTCACAGGCAACCTTCTTCAGCATCCCAGTTCACCTCAAGACCCAGGGTAGGTGGACAACAGGGAGTATCCATAGCAACCAGGAAGACGACACGAGATCCCAGTACCCGGTATACCGTTGTATATGCCGCACTGGGGTGTATGCCACACCCAAATGTTTTTGTCATGGAATACAAACATCTACTCCAGTTAGCACCATTAAGTTGCCCATCGTACTGTCGTGGACATGGAAATCCGGTCGCGCGTCTAGCGGCCCCAGGGCGCTGGCCATGCAGCCGTGTTTATGCGCTGCAGCGCGCTGGTCGCATCGGATCAACATGATTGTGCACTGCATGCAGCGTTACAATCTGTACGCACTGAGGACGCCGGCCTCGGTCATTCGACTCGATTTCCATGTCCACAACAGTAGTATAAAGCCCGATTCATACTTCATGTCGCGTCGCGAAAAAGTTGATCTGAGCTCAACTATTTCGCGTACATCGTACGCGAAATGAAGTATGAATCAGGCTTAAGCCGCATGGACATTTTTGGGTGAACTACAGTAAAACCTGCCAGGGCGACCACTCGGATAAGGCGACCACTCGGATAAGGCGACCACTCGGATAAGGCGACCACTCGGATAAGGCGACCACTCGGATAAGGCGACCACTCGGATAAGGCGACCACTCGGATAAGGCGACCACTCGGATAAGGCGACCACTCGGATAAGGCGACCACTCGGATAAGGCGACCACTCGGATAAGGCGACCACTCGGATAAGGCGACCACTCGGATAAGGCGACCACTCGGATAAGGCGACCACTCGGATAAGGCGACCACTCGGATAAGGCGACCACTCGGATAAGGCGACCACTCGGATAAGGCGACCACTCGGATAAGGCGACCACTCGGATAAGGCGACCACTCGGATAAGGCGACCACTCGGATAAGGCGACCACTCGGATAAGGCGACCACCTGTCCCACAAGACCACTGAAACCAGTACCAAGGGATGCTGTTTCCAGTCAAATAACCCTGGATAAGGAGACCACCTGGTAACAGAGACCAGATTCTGAAGGTCCCTTGAGCGGTCGTCTTAGACAGCTGTTTCACTGTACTGTTGTTTAAAGTGCGGCTTGTACTCCGGACAATACGGTAGTGTGTGTATACGCCTCCGGGTTGGAATGTTCTACACGATCCATGGTCCGTGCAGCTCGAGATTTGACCGGCCCGTCCCAAGCTTTGCCCGGGCAAGAGAAGCCGTATGCGAGTGTGTGCAAATCGGCCCTACCCCAGGGACGCCCGACGCGCAGACCGGGAGCGAAGCATACACGATTGACAATTTGATCCACGTGTAGATGTAGCCTGGATGCGTCACTGAAGCGCTCATCGTTTTTTCCTCGCAAGCTAGCTGCGGAGGTAGCATGGTACTTGTTAGGTGTACTGAGGCGAGCTGAGAGTGTGACTCTGTGTGAACTGCTGGGTGCTGAAGAACAAACAGGCTAGCATCAAGCACAGCGTACCAGTGTTTCCACGGTGACTCAACTGTGCATAGACTGAAATACATGAAAATAAGAACGGTGTGTAGGTATGGTTGTGTGTGTTTGTGCACAAAGCGGAGTGTATTCCTCGGTACATGTACTCTAAGCGCCCACCGTGATGTCTGATGATTGGCCATATTGCCGTGAAAAGAGTTACAGGAAGATAATTGTGGACTTGTGTGTGTGTGTGTGTGTGTGTGTGTGTGTGTGTGCGTGCGTGCGTGCGTGTGTGTGTGTGTGTGTGTAAGTGTGTGTGTGTGTGTGCGCGTGCGTGTGCGCGTGTGTATGTTTGTGCATATGTATGCGTGTGCGTCTATGTATGCACAGGATTGGTCAGTGATGGAATGATCACTGTCAGCCCTGTGTCTGACGTGACATCGATGAAGACACTGGTCAGATGGAACTGGCTGGATGACACTAAGGTACAGTGCGGTGTATTCCACTGCTTGTACATGTACAGTGCCAGCAAGTGAAATCCAACCCCATTGACACAACAGCTACGGGGGCTCCAACTCTCCAAATCGCATACATGTTGATGGGGAAAGCCATACTAGTAAATTTGGTATATTACGTCACCATCTCCACAGAAAGTGACGAAAGAGAGTGGTACTATTTCCACTGAGAACTCGCCGCAAAGAGTTCCCGGGTAGACGGAAGTGATAGTGGATGTATGAGTGTGCTACAGTCCGGTGTTCTCTCTCTTGTTGCCATACCTAGGTTGTTGTCACTCCTGTCGAACGCCTGCAAGGCTCTGTAGCATCGGAGGTGTCCATTACCCGTGCAAGCTCCTCTCCCACAGAGCAAAGCTTTGAACTGCTTCTTTTCCCGTACACAACCTACACCATCACGGCTACGTCCTCCACCCGCCGCCACACTCTGGAGTATCAAACACCTCCAGGTGGGTGGGTCTGTGCTGCAGTTCACCGTGTGTGTGTGTGTGTGCGTGTGCGTGTGTGTGTATATGTGTGTGCGTGCGTGTGTGTGTGTGTGTGTGTGTGTGTGTCGTCCGTTTGTCACAACAACTCCTTTCCCTTTTTCCCTGAACCTACCATGAAGAGCA